AGAGGGGGGAAAGAGGGGGGAAAGAGGGGGGAAAGAGGGCTTTACTGTGGTTTCTCCTGCCTGCAAAGGGCCTGACTCCATCTGAGCCCCACACTGTCCCAAGAGCTACAGACTTGTGCTGATGTTATTTTGAGCTGTGTTTGTGGCAATAGCCAAAGGACAAGAAACAAAACCAGAGCCAACCTGAGCTGGTTTTGGTGCTCAGCCATTTCTGAGGCAGTTGGATAATATTGATAGAGCAATCCAACAGTACAGACTCGAGAGGCAGATAAGGAGCCATGGTGCTGTTACATACACACTGCAGGTCTGTACATGGCCAGTGTAGAAGGGCTGGAAAAAGAACTAAAACCCAACCCACGATCTTTCCACAAGCAGCAGAACCCCCGGGCAGATACTGCTCCATCCCACAGTGTACAAGGAACAGAAAACAGGGTCTCTCTGAAGGGGAGATGGGCGCAGGGGACACCTCCTCTGTGTTGTTACCTTCCCAGCAACTCTTCATAAACCAAGTGTGTAAATCCCCGGAGGAAAGGGAGAGAACCCCCACTGAGCCCTTGAAACCCAAGCACTGAACAGCAAAGTCCAGGTCTGGTTTATAAATATTGCAAAGTTCAAAGCAAACAGCAACTACCATCGACACGAGCCAAGAGCAGCAGCCCAAGGGCCAGGCTGGAGGTTGCACGATGCTCCAGTGCCACCAGCTGCACAGCACAGGGAAGAGCAGCGAGGAAAGGGGAGGCTGAGCTGCTGTGAGCAACACCCCGAGTCACTGGAGCTTACCCAGAGGTTACAACTAGTGTCAGAGGAGGTGCTGCACTCCCAAAGGTATAAATGGCATAGAAACGCTGCAGGGAAGCTCAGGCACGTGGGGGAATCCTCAGGGAAATCCATGACCAAATGGTTCTCCCCTCGCTCCCACGGGGATAATGAGGTCACTCCAGAGTGGGAAGATGAACAGCCCTCAGCACCAGGGAAGACATTTGTCTGCAGCTGAGGAGGCAGAGGAGGTTCCCACTGGGGAAGCTGCAGGCACATGAAGAGCCTTAAAAGCCTTTGTGTGAGCCTTTAGACACACAGTCCTCCCACCCAGCCACCCGGGGGTCGCAGCAGTGTTCATCCAGAAGGTGTGCCCAGGCAGAACACACACACTCTTCCTGAGTTCATTGTGCTCAAGCAAAGCTTTCCCCCTCCCCTCCACTATCATGAGTAAATAACAGGGAAGTCCCAGTAAGGACAAAGTAAAACGTGATCAAAGTCTGTTCCTGCACAGGGGAACTCCTGGACAAGAGCTCCTCCTGGAGGAGATTCCTCCTCTCCCGTCCTTCTCCAGCACCCAGCTCTCATGACACAGCACTTCCAGCCAGCACATTCCTGGGCTTCCCTCTCACCTCACAGCAGGAAGCAGCAGAACCTGGACATCGGGAAGAGTCAGCAGTTATTTCATGTGTCACAGCCTGTGCAAGGGAGGCTTTTAAGCTGTTCAGACAACACTGTAGGAGCGTGGCTCCCACTTCCCATCAGAGCTAATGAACCCACTGGCTATGAACAAAAGCTCGCAGGGATATTAAACCAACAATTCAGTTAAAATAAGACATTTTGCTCCAGTTTTCCTTCTTCCTGGATTTTCCTGAAGGAAACAACAAACATACAAACCCAGTGGAAGTTGTAAAACCTTCACCAAACAAGCTTAGCAAAGTCCCACCTGAGCCTGGTGATAAACCAGGCTGATAAACCTGGGGCACTGAAACCAACTGAACCAAAGGAAAGGTCAAAAACCCAACACAGGCTTTAGAGTAACACGAAGTTGGTTTATTTCAAGGCTCTTACACACAAAGCACTCACAATGTTCCACACACAAGTACAGGCCCTGCCCCAGAAATCCCTCACTCCACAGAAAGATCACACCGTGTCAGCCAGGGAAGCCCCATCTGCTCTGGGGCATTGACCACAGCCTGACCAGTTCCACAGAATTCCAGCCTGGTTTGGGTTGAAGGGACCTTTAAAGCTCCTCCAGATCCAAGCCCTGCCACAGGCAGGGACATCTTCCACTGGAGCAGGTTGCTCCAAGCCCCTGTGTCCAGCCTGGCCTTGAACACTGCCAGGGATGGGGCAGCCATCCCTGTTGACCTCCCAAGTGATCCAACTCACTTGTTCCCACCTGGTGAAGCAGCTTATATGTTTTCCAAGAGTATTTTACCCAGGAAACGTGACACGAAGCAGAAGAAACAGCACAAAAGAAATGTTCCCTTTCCTTGGAAAGCTCCAGCCATGTTCTCTCTCCTCCCTAGAGAGGTCAAGGTCTGGTCCCAGGAGGGATTTAGGAGTATCCTAGACCTGCCTCTGTGAACAAGCACCTCCTTGCCTACAAATTCCTCCATGTGAGAGGCCGTTTTCCAGTCACTGCTCCTGTTCTGGAGCCTCATTCTTCGGAAGAGGAGTTCTGCCCTCAGGACTTGAGGCACTTGCTTTAAAAAGCAAGAGGCTCCTGTCCCAGGAGGTGCTCCCGAAGCAACACACGAGCTCCATGGCACAGTCCTTGGTCAGGATCTGGGTGATCCTCTCCACCATGTCCCCGTTGATGGCAAGGGCTCGGAAGTGCTCGAAGTCGCTGCGGCCCAGCCTGCGCAGGCGCCGGGCGGCCGCCCTGTAGCACTTCCAGGGCTGAGGCTCCATCAGCAGGTAGGTGCACACAGAGGAGAGGAAGGACAGGAACTCCAGCAGGCCCCTGTCACCGTGGTTCAGGTGGATCCACATGGTCACCGACATGCAAAAACCAATGTCAAAGGTGGAGCGGCCAAAGCGGCTCAGGTAGGAGCTGAGGAATGAGTCCCTGGCACTGGAATCCATGATGTCCAGCTTGGCAAAGGAGATGGAGGCAGGAAAGGGGCTGTGCTGCTGAGCCCTCGCAATCAACACGGGATCAATGTCACAGCACAGCAGGTTCAGCTCCTTCCCACCTGCAGGCTCGTCCAGGCTGCCTTTGCTCTCCTGAAGGCCAAGGAGATGCCTGTACAGAGCCACGCTTAGCTCCTGCAGGAAGGAAAACAACAGTGGTTCAGGGGGCCCACACTGCTTCCTCAGCACATACCCAGTACGCAGGACCCCCCTCTCAGCACCAAGGCACAAGCACCAAGGCAGGAGTGTTCCCTCGAAGTTCAGAACAAACTCACCAACAAGCTTCCTTTCTGCAGCAAAAAGCAGCACAGAGCCCTGACCTGCCGAAAGTCAACCAGAGATGGGGACTAAACCTCCACCAGCTCACACTTGGGCTCCTGCTCCAAAATCTATGGGGAAGATGAGGTTTAGAAACAGGAATCTTGCTGGACAAACCCATCCAGCGTGGGGGTGAAGGCTTAAATGACTTCCTTAGGTGAGCCTCGGGGTTCCCTGGTGATACTCAGAGCTCTGTATAATGCCTAATTTAGGGTAATAGGTGCCATTTGCTGCTGCTAAAGTAAAAGCCATTCCCTGACCACTCGGTGTAGCACAAGGGAGTTAACACAAGAGCTTTCTTTTGGATTCCCTTCCTCAGAAAGCCCCACTGGGGGGAAAGTGGAGTCATCCCTTATTAAAGGAGACCTGATGAAGTTCCTGGGTGGCACCAGGAATGGGAGCATGGCCCACATGAGCAGGCAGAGAGTGTCCTCTAGCGGCAAAGTCTCTGCTTCCCAAAAGAACCGATCTGGGAACGTTTTTCCCTGACCTGTTCTACAAGTTCACCTGCAACAGCATCTTGGCTTGTCCTTTAGATAATGCCTCAGGCATCATTCTTAGGTGGGAGGGAGAGAAGCCATGGAAACAGCAGTGCTCCTGTCCCCAAGTGCATTCTGAAAGAGACATTACTTCTTAGGACAAAAAGCAGAATTAGGTAAAGAAAATGAGGTTTCAAATGTGAGATTCTAGGAGATTTACCAGCTCGGACACACAACCAGGGGTTTAGCTTCAAGTTCTGGCTCAGGGATCGCTGATGTGACACCAGAGAACACACAACAAATGATGGTTTGTAGCCTCAGGCCTGCCCAGTTCTCCTGCTCTTTGGGCAGCAGCTCTCCAGTGCTTGGGCCATGCAGCAACCCAGGGCCTCAGTGGAAGGAGAAGAGACCCACAACACAGCTCCTAAACCAACTCAGGACCCAGCCAGCTCCACCTCACCCCTGCCCTCACCCAGCCTTCAGCCTGTGAGGGGGCTTCCCACACACGGATCATAGAACCATGGAATGGGGTGGGATGAAGGGAGCTTAAAGCTCCTCCAGCTTCCAGTAGAGCAGGTTGCTCCAAGCCCCTGTGTCCAACCTGGCCTTGAACACTGCCAGGGATGGGGCAGCCACAGCTTCTCTGGGCACCCTGTGCCAGCACCTCAGCACCCTCACAGGGAAGAGCTTCTGCCTTATCTCCAACCTGAACTTCCCCTGTTGCAGTCTGAACCCATCCCCCCTTGTCCTGTCGCTCTGAGGACAGTCCCTCTGCAGCATCCATCGTCTGACCCCACCAGCCCCATGCTGGAGCCAAGCCCTGCTGCCCCCTGCGCTTCCACACAGGCTCATCCCTGCCCCAGGCTGTTATCCCACCTCAGCCTGCTCCGTTCCTCCCCAGCCCCCCCACGCACCTCACTACCCTGGGTCACTGCCTGTCCCACTCTGCCCCCTTCACCCCCAGAGTCTTTAGAATCACCCACGTTAGAAAACACCTTTAAGATCACCGAGTCCAACTTTCACCCCGGGACT